AGTTTTAGAGCTGAATATAAAAATTTATAGTCCTTGGGCCTGTATTATTTAACAACTTGTAAATGAAGTTAAAATTTTAAAAATCATATTTATATTTCTAAAGTAACTGAAAAATAAAAATAAATTATTTCAAACCCCAATTCAGGTTTCATAAACCAAGTATATATGTTCCCTATACTCAATATGATATGTACAATTGCACACTTTTATTTACATAGGTCTATTTCTATGAACATAGCTATGCATTTATATTTACCTGTAGTTAAACATGTCTCAACTCTGTTGGACTTTGTTGGAAATCAAAGAAGAAATGCTTCTTGATGAATAAAGTCCAGCTGGGCCATTTTTTTTTTTTAGCATATAATAGGCACACTAATGATTTTTAAAATTGGCTGCACATGTGTGGTTGGACAATTTCTTATCAAGTTAAATAAACATGATTAATTCTGGCAGCTATTCAGAGGGCACACAGAAACATTCTGAATGCATTTTATCATGTTAAATTTATAACTGCTTTCCTGAAGCAGAGCATATTTTATCATAACATTTATATATATATATTTAGATTTAAGGCATTCCTTGTGGCTCAGCTGGTAAAGAACCCAGCCACAATGTAGGAGACCTGAGTTTGATCCCTGAGTTGGGAAGATCCCCTGGAGAAGGGAAAGAATACCCACTCCAGCGTTCTGGCCTGGAGAATTTCATGGACTGTATGGTTCATGGGGTCGCAAAGCGTCAGACATGACTGAGCGACTTTCACTCACTCATATTTAGATTAGCAAATATAATGGTCCCTTTTAGTCTTTTATGTTCTTAATAATCATTTTAAAATGTTTCTGAAAATTATTAAAGTTTTAATTTTAATAATTCTAAAGATATAAAAATATCTTAACTCTTTATCTTCACACTAGTTATACTCATTATAGGGCATGGTATTTTTGACTCTAAATTTTAGAGTTGGGGTATGATGATCTGGGTGGGGGGAGGAAAAGAATCCATATGATGTAGAGCTGATCTGCTTGGATTTCAGTTTGTTACCAAAAATGCATTGATTTTATCTTTTTTGAATACACAGAAAAATAAAAAAATAAATTATAACAAAAAGAGAAATCTGAAGGCAGCTTAAGTACACTTATATATTTAAAAGATAGTATCACTGAAGTGCTATATGAGGAAACAGTAGAGCACATGCCACAAAACACATTTCAGTAAATTTTTATAATACACCGAACTGGCCTGGGATCACGGGCTGTATGGCCTTGAGAAAGCACTTCATTTCCCTGTGTGTCTGTCCCCTAGGTGAAANGCCACAAAACACATTTCAGTAAATTTTTATAATACACCGAACTGGCCTGGGATCACGGGCTGTATGGCCTTGAGAAAGCACTTCATTTCCCTGTGTGTCTGTCCCCAGAAATAATATATAGAGCCATGCCCAGCTCCAAAATGTGTAATATTTCTCTTATATTAAAACAGAATCAGGAAAAGCAGCTTATCAGAGATTTCAACATTTTTTCAAGGTACCCAACCCAAGAAAACGACAAAAAAACAAGCAAAAGGTCCATATTTTCATTGTATATAAACCTGGAAATCTGACTGCTGAGGTTTCCCCAAAAGGAAACATGCATTCTGAGTGCAAACTTGTATCTACCTTGTAGGGATACAACACAATAATGCCAGTACTAAGACAAAAAAAAAAAAAAACAAATCCAGTGCCAAAGCTAAAGGCTGTATACATTCTTTAATAACAAACTGTTATATTTAAATTAATGAGAACTAAGGCTAAGTTTTTAATTAAAGCAAGGCATCGTTGGACATGAGTTTGAGCTAGCTCTGGGATGGGAGATGGGGAAGGATAGGGAAATCTGGCGTGCTGCCGTCCAAGGAGTCACAAAGAGCTGGGCACGACGGAGCGACTGAACAACAAAGCATAGCTGAGGATCTTCAACTTTTATCGGTAACAGACACAGGACCATGTAGGCAAATATTCTCTGTTTAGTTTGTTAACTATAAATGGACTGATATTTACTGTTAAAGAAGATAATGATAACTTCATCGAATTTTCCAGAAAGCAAACTCTAACTTGGTGCTTTTTTCTTTTAATATCAAAAGCTTTAAGAGGGCCTAAAGTCACTGTCAGTGTTCACAATGTTAAGTCGAGAGCTCTGCACCTCTGATTTTCTTCCTTCCACATGCCTCGGTACACATACTAAGCGTTAGTACATGTACTAACTAAGGGAAGTGTGCTGCTTGATGCCTCACCTGGCGTGCTCGGCTGTGGCAAAGACGAGAGGAGGAGCGGGGAGAGGAGAATTGGCATGGAGCTGCCATGCTGAGTCTATTTTAAGTCAGGCTGCGTGAGGGAGAGGTGCCAGAGGGAGTGGCCTGAGTAGACAAACTCACCTGTCAGTACTATTATTATAATGATACACTCGTCAATTTATAAGACTTGCTATGAACTCTTTGAGGGTAGAAATAGCTTGTTATTTTTTTTTTTCCATATCTTAGTGCATGGCACCCAGTAGACACTTACTGTATATTTACGGAAGGGATGAATAGAAGATGCCCAATTCCTTTGGGGTTTCTTTCTCCCATTACTTTCATATGTTAGGAGAACTGATTAGGTTAGGAAATTCCTTATTTAAAGCTTCAATAACTCCCTTGAGTTCTCCTTCTTAAAGTCATCCACACCTTCAGATGAATTACTTCTAATCATCTGCAGGAGGGGATCTCAGATGCAGGGGACGGCTATGCAAGGAAGTCCTCCCAGGGGTTGGTGCTTTGGACTGTTGAAAGCAGCATGTGGAAGGGAGCTGCTAGATCAAGGAAAGTGTGTGAAGGATTCAAGATGAGTTTATGCAGGACCAGAGTGGTTACCATTACAGACAGTCCACTTTCCAAGCCAGAATAGAGGGATATGAAGGGAGAGGGCACCAAATGCTTTTGTAAACATTTAGCATTCGTACACACATAGCAGCTTGGGGAGGCTGGTGTTTGGAGGTCAAGCCTGGAAGTTGCACATCCCAGCTTCTCTCAAGTTGCTGTTGCTGCTGCTGCTAAGTTGCTTCAGTCATGTCCAACTCTGTGCGACCCCATAGATGGCAGCCTACTGGGCTCCACCATCCCTGGGATTCTCCAGGCAAGAACGCTGGAGTGGGTTGCCATTTCCTTCTCCTGCATTATATGGACCAGGTGAGTTGTGCTTCATGTGTAAAAACCAGGTTCCTGTGCTTTTTGGCCATTTGCGTGTCTTCTTTGGAGAAATGTCAATTTAGATCTTTTGACCATTTTTAAATTTTTTGACATTGAGCTGCACAAGATGTTTGTATATTTTAGAGATTAATCCCTTGTCAGTTGCATAGTTTGCAAATATTTTCTCCCATTCTGTAGGTTTATGTTTTCATGTTGTTTATGGTTTCCTTTGCTGTGCAAAAGTTTTTAAGTTTAATTAGGTCTCATTTGTTTATTTTTATTTTAATTACTCTAGGAGGTGAATCAAAAAAGATATCATTGCAATTTAAGTCAGAGACTGTTCTGCCTATGTTTTCCTTTAAGAGTATTATAGTATCCATCCTTACATTTAGGTCTTTAATCCACTTTGAGTTTATTTTTGTGTATGGTGTTAGAGAGTGTTTTAATTTCATTCTTTTCCAAGTGGCTTCCCAGTTTTCCCAGCACCACTTATTGAAAAAATTGTCTTTTCTGCATTGCATCTTCTTGCTTTCTTTGCCACAGATTAGACCATAGGTGCATGGGTTTATCTCTGGACTTTCCATCTTATTCCACTGAGCTATATTTCTTTTTTTGTGCTAGTAACATACTGTTTTAATAACTATAGCTTTGTAACATAGCTTTGAAACTGCAATAAGGTATCACCTCACACCTGTCAGAATGCCCATCATTAAAAATCTATAAACAATAAATGCTGGAGAGGGTGTGGAGAAAAGGGAACCCTCCTACACTGTTGATGGTAATGTAAATTGGTGCAGCTACTATGGAGAAAGTATGGAGGTTCCTTAAAAAACTAAAAATAGAGCTACCATATGATCCAGCAATCACAGTCCTGGGCATATATCTGGAAAGAACCATAATTCAAAAAGGACACACACATTCTAATGTTCATTGCAGTACTATCTCCAACAGCTGAGAGATGGAAGCAACCTAAGTATCAACTGACAGAGGAATGGATAAAGAAGATATGGTATACATATATAATGGAATATTATGCAGTCATTAAAAAGAATGAAATAATGCCACATGCAGCAACATGAATGGACCCAGAGAGTATCATACTAAGTAAAGTAAGTCAGGCAGAGAAAATCATATGACATCACTTATATGTGGAATCTAATAAAAATGATACAAATGAACCTATTTACAAAACAGAAACCAACTCACAAATCTCAAAATCAAATGTATGATCACCAAAGGGAAAACACAAATCTTGAAATCAAACTTATGATTACCAAAGGGAAAACATGGAGGAGGGAGTGATAAATTGGGAGATTGGGATTAACACATATATGCTGACTATATATAGAATAGATGACAATTGCCGACCTACTGTATAGCACAAGGAACTCTACTCAGTATTCTGTAATAACCTACATATGCAGAGACTCTGAACAAGAATACATACATATATATATATCTATAAGGGATGTACACCTAAACTAACATATTATAAGTCAACTATATTCCAATAAAAGTCATTGGGGAAAAAACCCAATTCCTTAGTGGAAGGAGGAAAAGAGAAAAGGAAATGAAGAGGAAGGAGCCCATGTCCTGTGGCCCCTCCATTCCCCTAGTTCTCTTTATCATCGGTATGGACTAGTGTAGCTTTCATGGTATTTCCCACTTCATAGGACACTTAGAATATGTTCTCCTGCTCTTTCCAGCCTCCTTCCCATGCCAAACCGTCAATCAACTTACACACTCTCTTCCAAGCTTGGAATACAAGCTTAGCACTCATAGTTTAAATCCAGGGCCTGGCAAATTACCTACCCGCCTTCTTCTGAATATTTATGCCCAAATGCCAGGATGTCGGATGCCCGTCCACTCCCATCACAGACAACAACGGGCACAGGAGGGGTGTCTCGAAGGTATTCCAAGACAATTGAGATCACATTGGGTCCTCCTTCCACAATTAGCGCCACCACTGGAACGCCTTGACCGATTCCTGCATTAAAAAAGGAAAAGAAAAGGGAAAAAAAGAGAAAAGAACACAAAGCCAGCAAACCAAAGAAACAAAAAGAGAAACAAAAAGCACAAACTAAAATTACTGAGCATGGGGGAGGAAACAACATATGAAGGGATAACATACGGAGCAAAAATTTACAGAAAACCCTCTAGTAGAATTTTCCTACCAGAGAGTCCATTAGACTTTGCCCTCCCCCTGTAACTCCCAGGGTGCTGGGGTCAGTTAAAGTGTTGATGACCATACCTCATGGGGAGTTATAGAGTGAGAAGGTGGGAAAGTTGGTTAGTAGAGGAAGCCAGTAGCCAACAGATTGGAAGCTAAATATGATCTTAAGCAAGTCTCATGTGGACCCAATGGCCAGTTTCCTATATGAAACATGGAAGGTTTAAAAAAAAAAAAAAAAGCTACCTCCCTGAAGTTATCACAGTGCTAAGAAAATGCCTAAATGGTTTTTATATTAAAGGCTACCAAAATCAGCTGGGGGTATATTTTAACTTGTTGAATCAACTGCTAGCTAAATTAGGGGTCTATTTCTGACCACAGGTGATCAGCTTGATTATGGATATTTAACATATAATGGTCATAATAAATTACCCAGGAGATATGGCATCTGCCATCTGCCATTATTGTGTCCTTCACTATAGAGTGAGTTGCCAGGCACATGATGGGCAAACATTGGTTGAATTCAGTTGAATTAAGGAATTTCAGCTATTTGCACTGAGTCAATAGACACTGCTGTTTTCAAGTAAAAAATTACCCTAAATCAGCACTTATGTATGTTCAATCTAACATAATAAAAAGAAGTCCTGAAAACAAATGTCCATGAGAGACATGATGAGAAAAGAAAGTGAAATAAAAGTGAAAGTGTTAGTCTCTCACTGATGTCCTACTCTGCAACCCCATGGACGGTAGCCCGCCAGGCTTCCGTGGAAGGCTGTCCATGGAATTCTCCAGGCAAGAGTATTACAGTGGGTAGCCATTCCCTTCTCAAGGAGATCTTCCTGACCCAGGGATCAAACCTAGGTCTCCCTCATTGCAGGCAGATTCTTTACCATCTGAGCCACAGGGAAGTCCATGAGAAAAAAAAATTAGTTTTCAAGTGACACCTCAAGTTATCATCATTGGTGAGTGAATAACTTTTGCTCAATGTGGTGTCACATTGTATTTTTTCACTCTATCTTCTCAGTATAGTTAGGAAAATGGGCAGTTCCATAGAAATGAGATAGTTTTGTAAGGTATACAAAGTAGTTACCTTAAAAAAGGAAAGAACCAAGCTTTTGTACCATTTCTGTAAATATGAACTGAAAAAACCCCTTAGTCACCTCAGTTCTTTCTCCTCCCCCTTCTGCTATGGTATTTTATCTTTCATCAAGAAACTTCTTCCCTATGAGAAATGAGTTTGATGTTTGGTTCCTCGCTCCATTAATAAAAGATTCTATTAGACCTGTGTGACCAGTTTTATTTCTAAAGTATAAGTACATCCGTCTCCTAGGGCCTTACCTCCTCTAAGTCAGTGTTTCTCATGGTTTGATTTTCATCTGCAAAGAATGGTCCAAAATGCCGGTTACACAAAGAAGAATGCTTTTTTAAATTTACATTTAAAAAATGTAAGAAAATGACAATTGTTGATTAAGGCAAGAAGCCAAGATTTCTTTTTGTTCCCCAGAAGGAACTGGGAGAGAGAGATGACTCAGTCTCATCAGAGTTTTCTGTGGATGGGAAGTTTTTGAGAATTACGCTTTCAGATCCAAGAAGAGGGAAGTAAAAGGTCATGCTGTTCTCCTTTGACCCAGAGCCCTAAAGACTCAGACAAAAGGGCGTTTAAAGCTCTGTTTCCGGGTCTATGGAGGAGACACTTTCCCCACTGCTGTTGATTATGATTAAGTTCCCGTTGAAAGGCATGTTGAAGATTAAGGGCTAGCTTGAAATGTTAATACAGCATACTTCTTTTGGAGGAGAATTTTCTGACATAAAAGATATCTACTCCTATACAGATTTCTATTCTAAAGTGCCTTGGAAAAGAAACTCTTTTCCAAGGTACATTAAAAGTTATTTTATAAAGCATTTTAAACATAAACTTATATGCTTAAAGATATAAGGTATTTCCAAAGTACCATGCCATTTAGTTTTCTCCTTTGCTTTTCTTCAGCACATACTCCCATATTGTTTTATGTCAAGGGACAATACACCATACCTGCTGTTTTATACCAAATTATAACATTTACACTACTTCCAGGATCTTCTAAATTCTGTTTAGCCTAAATTGGCTAAATTCTTGAGTGCTGATTCTATCAGTGGATCATTACTCCTACTCACAGGCCAACTATGATCCATTCATGGAGGAGGAAGTCATAAAATGGACCTTCTAGAATGTTCCTAATCTACAGTCTACCAGACAATAGGCAAGATGTCTGGAAAATTCTCCTCTCTTTGAGAGGAAACATAGGTGCAAAGGGGGCTTTCCTGGTGACTTAGACAGTAAAGGATCCACCTGCAATGCGGGAGAGCTGGGTTCAATCCCTGGGTCAGGAAGATCCCCTGGAGAAGCACATGGAAACCCACTCCAGTACTCTTGCCTGGAGAATCCCATGGACAGAGGAGCCTCCTGGGCTACAGTCCACGAGGTCACAAGGAGTCGACACAACTGAAGCGACTAAGCACACACGCACACATAGGTGCAAAGGATCAATTTTCATGCACAGATTTGTGAGCAATAAGCTGTCAGTTGTATCTGTCAATAAATAAAATTGTTATACCCTAGAAATATAGAAGCATTTAGATGGTCAGATTTCCTGTATTTGAAATGAAGCTGTAAGCAACTGAAATGAAGAAAACAACTACATTAATTCAGATATATATATATATGTATATATATATTTATTTATTTCGGGGCTAAAAATTGGATGGAGCAAAATATCAAAACATTATCCATTTTTTCATAAATTGAATATATCCAATATATCTAATGACTCCAAATTCTCTCCCATTTCCTTTAGATAAAAATTTGTTCTAAAGACTATAAAAACCCTTAAAGCCTAAAATAAAAGTATTTTTTATTTTCTTAGTTACAAGTGGTAGAGAATCAGGCCATGCCTAAAAATTAAATGTGTAAATTAAATGTGCCAATATATGGTAACATTAAACCTTTTTGTCAACACACACACACACACACACACACACACACACACACACCCCACTCTCAAGTATTGCCTTTTTCTGAGAAAAGAAAATGATATAAAATAACTAGTAATGATCCAAAGTAATGGTCCTTAGCCTAGTTTTTTTGAGACAAGAATCTTTGAATACGTTTGTGAATCCAATGAAAGCTAATCATCTTTTTCCAAGAAAAACAAAGGCACATATGGACAGTCACAAAAATGCTTCTATGCAATTTCAAAAGTTCATGGATTCCTGAAGTCTATTCATAAAAACCTTGCTAATGGACCCTCACAAAGCCCCACCCTAAATTGAGAACATTGATACACAGTTGGTCATCTGTATCTGTGAGTTTCACATTCATGAATTCAACCAACTGCAAAAAAAAAAAAAAAAAAAAAAAAAAAATTCCAGCAAGATCCACCAAGCAAAACTTGAATTTGCTGGGTGCTGGCAATTAATTTCATAGCATTTATTTGTATTAAGTATAATTAATTTAGAGATGATTTAAAGTGTACTGCAGGATGTGCATAGGCTGCCTGCAAATACTATACCATTTTATATAAAGGACTTGAGCATCTGCAAATTTGGTATCTGGGGGGTAGGACTGGAACCAATCTCCCCAGGATACTGAAGGACCACTATATATGCAAAGAGCATCAGTTTGTGTTCTTTTATGAAGCTCACTGAAAGTCAGAGTGCTAGTTACTCAGTTGTGTCCAACTCTTTGTGACCCCATGGACCTCTAGGTTCCTCTGTCCATGGAATTCTCCAGGCAAGAATACTGGAATGGGTTGCCATTCCCTTCTCCAGGGAATCTTCCCAACCCAGGCATTGAACCTGGGTCTCCTGCAATGCTGGCAGATTCTTTACCATCTCAGCCACTAGGGGAATTCAATCCCATCACTTCATGGCAAATAGATGGGGAAACAACGGGAATAGGGCAGACTTTATTTTCTTAGACTCCAAAAATCACTGCAGATGGTGGCTGCAGCCATGAAATTAAAAGATGCTTGCTCCTTGGAAGAAAAGCTATGACCAACCTAGAGAGCATATTAAAAAGCAGAGACATTACTTTGCTGACAAAGGTCTGTCTAGTCAAAGTTATGGTTTTTCCAGTAGTCATGTATAGATGTGAGAGTTGGACTATAAAGAAAGCTGAACACCAAAGAATTGATGCTTTTGAACTGTGGTGTTGGAGGAGACTCTTGAGAGTTCCTTGGATGGCAAGGAGATCAAACGAGTCCATCCTAAAGGAAATTAGTCCTGAATAATAATTGGAAGGACTGATGCTAAAGCTGAAGTTCTAATACTTTGGCCACCTGATGTGAAGAACTGACTCACTAGAAAAGACCCTGATGCTGAGAAAGACTGAAGGCAGGAGAAGGGGACGACAGAGGATGAGATGGTTGGATGGTATCATTGACTCGATGGACTTGAGTTTGAGCAAGTTCTGGGAGTTGGTGATGGACAGGGAAGCCTAGCGTGCTGCAGTCCATGTGGTCACAAAGAGTCAGACACAACTGAGCAACTGAACTTAACTGATGAAACTCACTGAGGCATCTGAGACAGGTTCTAGAAAAGGTTTTCAGACAAAACACTATGTCTGGGGAAACTATATCACATTATTATTGCCCAGTTATACTGATTAACCAAACTTCCCACTGTCTATAGTTTATTTCTCCTCCTATCCTTCATTCCTTTCTCTTTTCCTTGCTTTTCTTTATTTCTTCTGCTCACACTTTCTTTTCTAAATGGTATTTTGGATAAGGGATATTTTAAAAGTCTCTAGAGAAAATAAATTTTATAAATCTGTAGCAAAT